AGTAGACCAGTTAGGAAGCTTATGTGAGTTACAGCCTAATTTAGGTTTATTTTCATCATCGAAAACCTGATGAATGTTAGAATATTAAAACACAACCTTTATTAACATCACTCACAACTTCTAAATTTTACCAATTTTGCAACAGCATTGTACATTTTTCTCGACGAAAATTGTATCGGTGGTAATTATTCAATTTAAAAAACATGTGCAATATCGCGCCCAACAAATTCAGAATGCAGAGCAGGATGATAAATTTCTTCTTTATTAAATATTGGCATACGAAGAACCTATGGATTTACATATTTCCCTGTGGCCTTTTTACACGAATCAACAGTTATCAAATTCGATCAGTCCGATACTGCACATGAAACAAAGTCATTGACTTTCTGACTATTAAAGATGCTCACTTGGCTCAACTGCAGTAACCTGTAGTAGATGTGGTAGCCAACTGACGTACTATCAGGCATACGTACTTCATATTTGAACATAATCAGGGCAGTGGTTTTGAGGTAACCTACCAGACATATGAAAATGCAGGGTTTCGCGAAGTGCTAAAGAGAAGAAAAGATAAAGCTGCAGCTCAATAACTTCATAAATTTCATACAAAAAGCTTGTCAGAGGTCCAAAGTAAGAGTCTGCAGTGTCTAGAACATTTTAAGTTGAGCCAATAAATGAAGGATGTGTGCCAACTTGCCGTCCACACATATACTAAGTGACATATAAATCCGAACACCCAGTTTAAATGGTTTTATTTTAATAAAAGTTGGTGAATGTATTTATCTTACTGTAAGTAACAAGTGAAAAAATTTTCAGCCTTATCAGTTGGACATTCCGGTTTTTATACTGCTTTTTTTTAATTCACTAACGCTCTAAAAATGAATATTTCAGCCGCAGTAAAGAATCAACGTTGGCGGATTTTGGTTCTTGACATCCTTTACGATCGGTTACGATGCCTAGAGCACGGAGACCTGTACGATTTCGTCAACTTAGTGAGTTTGATAGGGGCCGTATAGTGGAACTTCGGGAAGCTGGACTTTCTTTTCGGGCAATTGCAGTTAGAGTGCAAAGAAGTGTAGACACTGTGGTTAGGTGTTGTCAGGCATGGCTTCGAGAAGGCCGTACGCAAAGAGCAAGGGGCACTGGACGCCGCCGTAGAACAACAGACCGTGAAGATCGCCGCCTAAGATTATTGGCCTTAAGAGACCGTTTCTCCACTACCAGGTCCATTGCAAATGAATGGTTTGCAGAACACGGAAGACCTATTGGCATGCGAAGTGTTTACCGACGAATGAGAAGTTTTGGCTTGTTTTCATACCGGCCACACTAGGTCCTCCCTTTAACTCGAGAACACCGACGTAATCGCCTTGAGTGGTGCAGACAACGGTCACTCTGGGATCAGGAATGGAACAGTATTGTCTTTAGTGACGAGTCTCGATTTTGTTTAGGCATGCACGATGGTCGTGCCAGGGTTAGAAGGTGACGTGGTGAAAGGAGGAATCCACAGTTTTTTGTTGAAAGACATGTTCATCACACTGTTGGAGTTATGGTTTGGGGTGCTATAGCTTATGGTTCCAGGTCACCTTTAATCTTCATCAGAGGTAACATGAACGCGCAGCGTTATATCCACGAAGTTCTAGAACCCCATCTTTTACCCTATCTCGACACCCTGGCAGATCCAACTTTCCAACAAGATAATGCCCGACCACATGTTGCAAGAGTCACAATAGACTTCTTTCAACATAATGATGTCACATTGTTACCATGGCCACCAAGATCTCCCGACTTATCCCCAATGGAGCACGTATGGGATATGATGGGTAGGAGATTGCTCAATTTGCAACGTCCTTCTCAGACTCTAGAAGCACTTCGAGAAGAGTTGGTGCATCCACACATTATTAAAGGTCAAAGGGCTTTAAAGCAGTGCAATCATTTTGAAATTTTTATCATTTACTTATTATGCTTCATTAAGTACTTATACAAAATTTTATTAAAATAAATCCATTTAAACTGGGTGTTCGGATTTATATGTCACTTAGTATAAATGGTTTCGTTATGTAATCATGCGCTTCTCAAAGAGCTGGTTGTTCAACTCCAGTTTAAACCGCTGTTCAGACTGAACTAAGTTCAAAGTTGAAAATCAGTTGTACAAATCAAGCTCAAGGCTTGAACCCAGTTCAAGTAGGCATAGAACCTGACCGGCAGATGTCCCTCGGTTAAACTCAGTTCAATGTTAGTAACATAAATATCGTAGCAAAGTTTAGCGAAGGAGTTGTGTGTTGAGTTTAAAAATGGATATTTCCGAAGAGATAACTGATGACGAGGACTTCTTAGAATTAATTAACATCGTATATGTACCCAGGTTACCCAAAACTTACAAACACAGACCTGATAATTTTCGGATTTGGAACGACACTAAATTGTTGCAACGTTTTCTGTTATCAAAAAATACGGTTAGATTCATAATAGATAAAGTTGCAGATGATATCAGAAATATAACAATACAGTAAACTTACTTATGATTACTATGTATCAGAGCCATTCCTGGCGGCTGCATATTGTGCTCCAACTTCAGAACCCAGAAAAAAGTCAATGAATTAGATAAATTGAAAAATAAATATCATTACCTATTTCAAATTTTGGTAGATATATTTTTAAATATAATTTTTTATACGTTTACACATTCACAACCGATTAGAATGCTGTGTTGAATCTAAATTGAAAAATCGTTCTTTCATTGACTGTGAATTTGCAAAAACCATGTGAGCTGCTCAAAGGGTACTCACACTACAGGAATGGTCCTAGGTTGATATAATGCGGGAGGGGTTTGGAAAAATTTGTATAAAAGCTACTTTTTTATAGAAATCATGCCCTCACGCCAGATGATATGGTCTTTGTTACGCTACGTTACCTTGCAACTGGGTCCTTTTTGCAAGTAATAGGGGATGTACAAGGAACGGCAAGCAGGGTTGTGGTGAAAGTTATGAAATCATTAGCAGTCCATTTTAGAGAATTAATAAAAATGCCTGAAAATGGCGAAAAGAGAACTGTGATACGTCAAGAATTTGTTAATATTGCTAGATTTCCTAGATGCATAGGAGCTTTAGACTGCACCCACTATAAAATTAAATCTCCAGGTGGTGCAAACCCAGAGAATTATAGGAAAAGGTTTCTTTTCCTATAATGTACAGGTGATTTGCGATGCCACTTTGAAAATACAAAATATAGTTTGCTGCTGGCCAGGTGCATCACATGATGCAAATATATTTACAAATAGCAGAGTTCGAGCCTTATTTGAAACCGGACATTTTGGCGACAGTTTGTTGGTTGCAGATAGTGGTTATGGTATTAAGCCATATTTAATCACACCACTAAGCCGACCTGAAACTCAGAGTCAACATTTATTTAATGAATATCAAATTTGCACTAGGAATCCTGTCGAGAGATGCTTCGGGGTATGGAAACGACGCCTCCCCATCTTAGCATTAGGAACTCGTGTAGCGAAAGAAAAAATTGAGGCAGTAGTTGTTGCAACAGCAGCCTTGCATAACCTAGCAATTATCATGAAAGACCCACAACCTGCAATCAATAATGAAATTGAATCAGCAGTTGAATAATTAACAACTTTGATATTGTACCAGTCCCAGTTGGACGTCAAGATGCATCTAACAATAGGACACAATTATTGTCAATTAATTATCCAGGATTTATTGTGAATGATTCAAAAATTCAGTTTTTAGTATTTCTCTGTTATCTTCGTTTCATACTAAGTGAAAGTGAAAGATATAAATGATACAATAAAGGATATTGGAGTTTTTATGTATTTATTTATTCAGAATATGTAAATAAGATGGCAAGATTAAGAAAATCAAATTTTATATTTATTTAACAGATACTGTTTTCCCATATTTAACATTTCCATTTTAATGTTATGTACCTCATCTTCCCTCTTTTTTCTCTCTTCATACTCTAGTTGCATTATTTCCAGTTTTTTTTGTTTTCTTTTATCAATAGCTGTTTTTTCATTTCAAATTCATCCAAAAGGCATTTTTCTTTAGAATCTTCCAACGATTTTTTGGATTCGACCCATTTTTCCATTTGTGTGCAAATAGCACCCGTTTTTCTGGGCGGTCGGTCTTCACTAAAATTAAAATGTTTAAGGAACATCTTATTCTGATCCACATTTACTAGCAACAGGTAGTATTTAATTACTAATTTCATCCACAAGAACAGAAAAAAATTACAGCACAATATGCAATAACTTTCCATTTAAATACTAGAAGAAACAGTTCCTTTTTTAAATTTAGATAAATCAAAATGAATGGTATTAAAGAAATCATGCAGTAATGAATATGAAGTGTTTCTGGAGATGTACTTAATTTGCTCCAGTCCCTCGTTTGACGTCTACTGGCTTCTGGACCTTCTAAATGATGCGCTATTTGATTTCCTTTATCTGTAAAATCATGAATCACAATAACGCACATCTATTTTGTGTATTTACTAGCAACAGGTAGTACTTTATTACTAATTCAATCAACAAGAACAGAAAAAAATCCATAGCATAATATGAAAAACTTTCCATTCAAGTACTAGAATAGGTTTTTTAAAATTTTCATAATTGGAAATAAATACCATTATAAAAATCATGCAGTAATGTCCATATAATAGTTCTGGACATTTTAATGTAGATTACCTTCTGGAGTTCTCAGATCACTTGATTTTAGTGTGTATTTAACTTGCTCCCATGCTCCGCCTGATGACTAGTGGCTTCTGGACCTTCTAAATGAGATGCTATTTGATTTTCTTTATCTGAAAATCATGAATAAAAGCGATATATTTATAGTAGATAATAACAAAATAACTTCAAAAAATCGCCAAAAAATGATTCCAGATTGTACCTATCGTTTCGGCCTATAACCGAAAGCAAGTGAAAGTAGGGTCATGATTTCTGTAAAAATCACGTCAAAATGACATAGTGCTTATGGTATTACCAACTGCTGCATATTTGAGGTTCAGTGGAACCGAGCTTGACTGACAGATGCACATGCATTTGAACTAAGTTCATATTTGAACTGGAGTTCAGGTGACCTATAGTTTAACCGAAACTTGAACAACCGGCCCTTAGTGTCGACATCTTTCCCCAGTTTCCCCTACGCAGTTCTGACAGATCTTTCAAAGTCAGACCTGTAGACATACTCGTATTTTGTTGTGGTGTTTTGTAAGCTACGGATTCATATTCTACTTCCTATAGTAACAACGCCTTTATTTAGAAAAGTTCCACAAGAAAAATTCTAGAAGCAAACGGCTGCTAATGATCATGACTATAGTTTAAGTCAATTAGGAATAAAACAAGATAAACAGTTTTAGACTATATTATTGATCTCTACTTGTTAGAATTTGAAAAACAATATGAATTTAAAGGATGATGAAACAGCCATACAATTAGTTCAAGATGCGCTGCAGTATAATATGACCGAATTGATAGAGGTTTCATTCCTAGTCTGTTCTATTGAATTACCTGAGAATTGATAAATAAATAAATGTACTATAATCATTTTCTAATAAACATTTTTGTTATATATGCTTCTTATATGTTGTCAACGTTCCCATCAGGACTAAAAGTATCTAAATTCATAAAAAAAAATGATAATTAAAAATTGATATAAACGGTTCTGAATAAGGTCCTGATTTTCATCCGAATCACACCCGCACGGGTATTATGTAAAAAACCTATAAAATGCCAAAGAAAAACTTATACAATGTTATCTTGCAGACTAGGTAGTTTTTAGAGTGCAAACAGTGATTCCACGTTTGCTCACTAGGATCGTTCTATGCAGGTATGACTCAACAAAACTACACGCATTGTTGGTTTCATATGTTTTGTGAAGCCGAGTGGTCTGTAGTTTTCATCTTTGAGAAGAAAGACAGTTGAATAGCAAGATCGCATCTGGATGATTGTGTGTATTGGTCTTCATGTGCATAAAATCATATTTGCTGTGTGAGAAAAGCAATACTGAATATGCTGCCAATGAAGTATATCTATTATCTGTGCCCGATGGGTTATTTATATGTTGCCCTTGTTGAAGGCAGGTTATGTTCAAAGTTATAAATTACAAAAAACTTTGAGGAGAATTACAGGAAATCACCACCGCGCCGGGTTGTGTGTAATTACTGTTAGCATGTATGTGGCTTGTAATTCGTCAGTATACAGTGAATATAGTTCTTTCTTATCTCTCTCATTTTTGGAATTCAGCAAATTTGCATATGCAATTTCCAGAATGGATAAGAAAAAGTGGATACGCAACTAATTTCTAGCTTTGAACCTCAAGTAAGTGTATTTGAGACAAGAATCTGATGGAATTATCATCAACACATACAACTTACAGCTTAGACCTCCAGTAATGTCATCTCTGAAGCAGATATTACATCACATCAGAGCCAAACATTGATAACTGAAGCCGCATGACGTTTAGGCTACACTTACAACTACGTGCTAAGTTGATATCTTGTAAAAAAACCTACATAATGTCGAAAAAGCAGTACAATGTAAAAAAATATATATCACTTTTCAAGATACGTAATATTCATGCCGATTCATTATTGCCAGCACTACAGACTTCAATACAAAAGTAGCACTTGCTGATCAGCTGTTCACCTCAATGGACGTCAAAACGGAATGGAGTGTTACGAAAAGTTCGAATATCACTGATTAACGTATTCTACCTGAAGATAACCAACCTAATGCAATATTCGCGAGGCCAAAGAATCATTCGAGATAAAATGAGATACCGAAGCGTCATCTATCAGAATTTGTCACAGCTGTTTCTCTATTTACCATATACATTGAAATCCATATACCACTGACGTCATAATATGTACGAGAGAGAAGCACGAGAAGCGTGCACTACGTATGCTAGAAAGAGATAGATGCACCACGTGGCCTAGCAACCCGAGTGATGAGGCCACGGACGAAGCTGCGGCTTGCACGTACTGCAAGCTTCTCGCGCTTCTCTCTCGTATACTTTATCTGAAGTCACTTGAAACACTGTGAAATACCGGGTGCGTTTTATATATCTATATTTAACACGCTCTGTTGCTGCAAAAATCGCCAAATTTCGCAGCAAATATCCCCCGTATAAGATCAAAGGCAGTTTCACCGGTCCACGTGGAGTAAAGCACGCCTATTGCGTGGACATAGCCAATGAGAAAGCGTGTATTTCAGAGCTCGGAACAAGTGCAGGTGGCTACTGAAAATTGAAACAGTTTAGCCAGTGCCGTGTAGCGGTGAATAAACGTGTTTTCTTTAGTCTGTCCGTGTTTTTTCATAGATTTTATTAGTTTGTGTGTTTTTGACTTTTGAATACTCAGTTTACTTGTTGATTTAATTGTTGTGTTGATTGATCTTGTGTGTCCTAAATATGGCTCTTTGGAGACCTTGGGAAAATGCTTCAAGCCACGAGGAGATGGTTGATGAACCTGTGCAGGCAGAATTCTTTCATAAAGATTTAGAGGAACAGACCCAAATAGTAATCCTAAATATGTATGATTGTCTGAAAAACGATAATCCAGATTCCTCGCAAAATCAAATTTTAAACAGAATTTGTATCCTGACAAAAATCAGTCGGTCTACCATTTATCGGGTTATAAAAAGGGGAGATGTAGTCAACCATTCCTTCCACAGAAAGCGCATAGGTCAAAAATTAAAAAGAATAGACGTGGGTTTTCAGGAAGATATTCGTCGTATAATATACGGATTTTATAAAGAAAATTTGGTGCCCACGTTGGAAATGATACGGGATAAATTAAAAGATTATCCTGAAGATTTTTATAATTACAAATGCTTAGACTCACTGCACTGTATTGTAAAACTGTGTGGTTTTCAATACAAAAAATTAGATAAAAGAATGGTGATTATGGAGTCGTCTCGAATCGTTGAATTGCGCCAAGAATTTTTGCACAAAGTTAAAATCTATAGAGATCAGAAAAGAAATCTGATTTACCTGGATGAAACGTGGTATGATACCCATGATATTGTGCAGTACAGCTGGGTTGACGACAGCAACAAGTGCATTTTAAATGCACCATGCAACCGTGGAAAACGAATCATTATTCTCCATGCTGGCAGTGAAAATGAATTTATGCCTTGCTGTTATCTGCCAAAAATATCAAAGAATCATGTGCCGACTATCATGAGGACATGACCTCCGACTTATTTGAAAAGTGGATAGAGCAGCAGTTAATACCAAACATTTCCCCAAATTCAGTGATTATTATGGACAATGCGCTATACCATTCCCGACAGAAAAACAAAATTCCGAATACAGGCACAAAAAAACAAGACATTATTGATTTTATGAAGGATAAGGGAAAGGAAATACCACAAAAATCAACCAAAGCCATATTATTGGATCTTATTAAAAGACAAAAATTTGAAAAAGAGTATGTTGTTGACAATCTGCTTCAGCAAAATGGCCATGAAGTATTACGTCTACCTCCCTATTACTGCATTTTTAACCCGATTGAGTTGGTCTGGGCTGCTTTAAAAAAAAAGTAAGAAAACATAATCAGACCCCTCAATTAAGTGAATCGCTATTGGCCACAATAAGAGATGCAGTATCTCATATTGCTGCCACAGACTTATGGAAGCAGTGTTCTAGGCATATTATTGAAAAAGAAAATGAATATTGTGTTTTGCCTCCTGTAAATCCCGTTGTAATTCCTCTACAAGATGACTCTAGCGACAGCTCCGAAGGCGAGGATGATATATAAATACCTATAATGTAAGTCTTTATATACCTTTTTATATACATACCTGCTATGTAAATATTTGCCTATGTCAAACGTTGGAATTCTGTAATTTTTCCATTTCTTAACTTTCAGTCAACATAAATTAAACTCCCAATATAAGTATTTTTTATCCCAAATCAAAAAAATAAGAAGATAGTAAAATCCATTTATTGTGATATAAAAACATTATTATTATCGTTCTAAATAATTGACCGCACGCCTATGATACGTCATGAAATTACAAAGGACGCGCCGACCAAAGGTTTTTATGCTATTTCAAGTGACTTCAGATAAACCATACACA